GCAATCAGTAGGGGATGACAGGAGTCATAGCCAGATTGCCCTACATCCTAAAGATCAACAATTTAAAAAATATTACCAATGGCCTCTCAAAACTATAAGAGATTTTCAAAGTCTTATATTCTCTAGCTTCCTAGCCACTGCAGAAATGCAAGCTAACTGCAATGAGTAGCTATTTAGCTACATAAACACATCTAGTGAAGGAAAGGCTCATTACAACTCACAAAATAATGTTATATCAACTGTAATAATTTTGTTTTACTGAGCTAAAATATTTAATAACTCTCCACAGCTATTTTTTTAAATCAGGCTAATTCCTCTTTTAGATGACAGAAGTTCACAACTTTTAAGTCACCTGGAAGTGTCGTTAGTGTTTCTATTCCAGGCTACACCTTGCCAAATTATCCTGTGTAAGTTTAGAAGGGTGGCAGCATCCTATAAAAGAGCCTATGCTTTTTTAGCCCTAGTACTATAAGAAGTAATAGTACTACTATGTAGGTATGATATTTAATATAGAATATAATGCTAAGGTTATATTTTGAAGAATTTGTGCAAGATAGTGTTAATCAGGAATAACTGTTGAAATAAAAACAATGAAGTTGGTGATTATTTTGACTACGGAAAAAAAAAAAAAAAACAGTGATTGTGTGTGCTGATGCAAAAAAGAGAGAGAACTTATACTTTTAAACTGAACAGGGCAGCCTGGGTGGCTCAGCGGTTTAGCGCCTGCCTTTGGCCCAGGGCGCGATCCTGGAGACCCGGGATCGAATCCCACATCAGGCTCCCGGTGCATGGAGCCTGCTTCTCCCTCTGCCTGTGTCTCTGCCTCTCTCTCTCTCATTCTATGTGACTATCATAAATAAATAAAAATTAAAAAAAATTAAAAAAAAAATAAATAAATAAATTAAAAAAGAAAACTGAACAAAGCTATACCCAAAATGCCAGCTATATGGACTTGGTCAATTGACCAAACACACAAAGGTAGTTTCTTAACTGATGAAAAGGGAAGAACTCCTACCTTCTGACATTTTATAAAGTCTAAAATGAAATAAGATAGTACCCAGCACAAAGCACAAGACACCAAACACTATTCGGTAGTTTTGTTCCTGTAACAATATGATCTTAGAATCATCTCCAACTTGGTCACTCTCCTTTTGATATACTTTTTAACTTTAGAGTATAGTAGCATAACCATTCCCTTATTCTGAATATTCTATTGTACTATTGCATTATTTTGAATGACTAAGTTACACTTACACTGCTGGGTCATCTTATTTTCATGAGTATCAACAACAACAACAAATCTCTAATTCTTTTTCAAATGAAATGCTACTATGAAAGCAGATGTCTCCCAAATAATGTTCTGAACTTAAGCCTGATACTTTATATTTATTCCTATTAAGTTTCATATTATTACTGCCAGCCTATTTTTAAAAACATTTTATTTGGAGGTCATTTCAAATATACAAAGTTACAAAAATAAAAATAGGACAAAGAACACCAATATACTCTTTCACTCTACTCAGATTCATTTATTGTTGACATTTTATCCCACTTGCTTTGTGGTTTGTGTGTGTGTGTGTGTGTGTGTGTGTGTGTAAACATTGTGTGAGTCTGTAAAAAAAATTTTTTTTTTAGATTTTGTAAATTTACTTAAAGGATAGAGAAAACGGGGGGAGGGACAAAGGGAGAAGAAGAAAGAGAATCTCAAGCAGATTTCACCCTGAGTGTGGAGCCCAATGGGAGCGCTCAATCCCAAGACCCTGAGGATCATGATCCGAGCCAAAATCAAGAGCCAGACAGACTAGGCCATCCTGCCACTGCTGTGAAAAATTCTTTAACCATAGCCCTTTACCCCTAAATACTTCAATTTATATTTTCTAAAAATAAGGATATTCTATTAACAGATGGTTTAATAGTGTCTTTTTGTTTTGTTTTGTTTTTAGATTTTGTTTCTTTTTTCATGAGAGACACAGAGAGAAGGCAGAGACATAGGCAGAGGGAGAAGCAGGCTCCTTGCAGGGAGCCTGATATGGGACTCAATCCCAGAACTCTGGGATCACACCCTGGGCCAAAGGGAGACGCTCAACCACTGAGCCTCCCACGCGTCCCTTAATAGTGTTCTTTTATAGGCTTCTAGCCTAGGATCAGGAATAGCACTTACTTGTAACATTTCCTCAGGTTATACATTCTTGGCCAGAGCACAACATAGGGAATGTTGTATCAGTTTCAGCAAATCACACATATGGAAGCATACAATGTCCAATTATTCCACATTAGTGATGGTAATTTCAATCATTTAGTCAAGATGCTGCCTGATTTCTCTAATTACTATTTTTTTTCTTTGAGATCAAGAGTTACATGTTCTTCCAACTGAGCCAGCCAGGTGAGCCCCTAATTACTAGTTTTTCTCTCTTGCAACTAACAGTCTGTGGGGAGGTATTTTTAAATAATGCTGATATACCACTGTCTAACTACTTCTGAATATCTGTATAATATAAAACATCAGGACTATATACTCTATTTCTTCTCCAGGTAGTTAACAAATGCTAAATCAAGCTAAAGAAGGAAACATAAATGGGGTGCCTGGGTGGCTCAGTCTGTTAAGCGTCTGACTCTTGGTTTTATCTAAGGGTTGTGACATCAAGCCCCACATGGGGCACCGTGCTCAGGGCACAGTCTGTTTGGGATTCTTTCCCTATCCCTTATCCTCTGCCCCTCTTCCTGCTTGTGCTCTAAAATAAATAAATAAAATCTTAAAAAAAAACAAACAAACCAGAATTACATTAATTTAGATCTCTCTCCAAATACACTAATCAATACCTTCTGTACTGACTATATATTGTGAGAAACTCATTGAAAGCTACTGTTACTTAGTTTCTGTCTCCCCACCCTCATACTCTCCCAAGAAAAACCAAAGTATATATGAGAGAAATTTGGCCTAGTAGCAGTTCATAAGAAAAAGATCTAAAGACTGGAGCTATTTTAATAAACCAAAAAATGGGATATGATTACTAAAAGCTAATGAAATGATTCCAGGACTGCATCAGCAGAAGTGTAATGCTCAGGTAGCAGGACTAAGTATTTCCATTATACTTCAAACTGGTCAGACCATATCTTGCAGAGTTTCCTCAATTCTGGAACATTTATTAAAGGAAACATCTAGAGGAATATGAGTGGACAAGAAGGCAAGTGCTAAACCGCTGAGCCACCCAGGGATCCCCTCTTCCTTCAGGTCTTAACTCAAACATTACCTTTTTAAAGAATGTTCCTTGATCATCCTCTTTAATGTAGCCTTCCCCTGCTAGCAATTACAGGTACATCATCTTGTTTAATTCCTTTATGACACATTTTAGAAGAATTTTCTCATTTGTTCATTATCTATTTCCTCCACTAGATTACAAGTTCCATGAATAATGGGTATATCTGCATTTGATCACCAAAGATGATTAGGAAACAGTAACATGGTAGGCAGAATAATCTTTTGAAAATGCAAATCAGATGGTGTTAATCTTTACCTTAATATCTTCCAATGTTTCCCAGTATACTTATCACTAGAGTACAAATATCTGCCATGATGTGACCCATGTCTGCCTCATTAACTCCAACCTTTTGATAATTCCTAAAACATGCCCAGCTTGTTCCCAATTCAGGATCCATGCCTGTAATATTCTTTAACAGCCTGGGTGGCTCAGCAGTTTAGCGCCACCTTCAGCCCAGGGCGTGATCCTGGAGACCCAGAATCGAGTCCTACGTCAGGTTCCCTGCATGGAGCCTGCTTCTCCCTCTGCCTGTGTCTCTGCCTCTCTCTCTCTCTGTCTCATGAATAAATAAAATCTTAAAAAAAAAAAAAAAGAATAGCTCCCTTTCAGTCATCAAATCTCAGCTAAAATAACACTTACTAAAAAGGAGCATTTCCATTACACTATATAAAATAGTTTTTCCCTTCTAAGTTACTCTTTATCACAGAACTTCATTTCTTTCCTTCATGGTATTTCCTAATTCATAATTACTTCACCTACAAGCTTACTTCTTTATTGCCTGTCTCCACAACTACATAGTGTTGCTCCAAGAAAGCAGACAGGAAAAACACACACACACACACACACACACACACACACACACACACACACCCATGTATATAAAAAAAGAAAAAATATATATAATCAGTATCATCTCTCCAAAGCCTAACTCCGTGCCTGGCACTAGTCAGTACTCAAGTGTCTGTTAGAAGAAAGAAGGAAAAAACTTTTTTTCTCTTATAAAAAAGAGAGAAGATTTTATAAGAGAAAATTTCTGTAAAAGGTAATTTAACCAGCACATCCAGATAAGATATTTCTATAGCTATAATCCTCTAGCCTTCCATCCAAAACCAAGTAAACTAGGAAATAAGTATTTTTATTTTGTCATGAACAATTTATTTTGCTAGCCAAAGAAAAAAAGAGCTTTGAAGGCTCTTAAGAGAAATATGAAAGGCTGACATAGTGAAGCACATTTAAAAATAATTTTAAGGGTAACACCAAGCCTAGACTTATATATATTCCCCTAAGTACAGGTGGGAATCAGCAAAATGTTGAACATGACTCATGATTAAAGAGCAATTGGCACTGAAATCCGTATTTTCACCTTCCCCTCAATTAAGTTTTAAAGCATTTACTATGGGGCACCTGGTGGCTCAGTCAGTTAAGCATCTGCCTTCGGCTCAGGTCATGATCCCAGGGTCCTGGGATCAAGCCCCACATTAGGCTCCCTACTTAAGGCAGAGTCAGGTTCACCCACTCCCTTTGCTTCTCCCCACCCCACTCTTGTGCTCGCTCCCTCTCTCTCCACCCCCCTCAAATAAAATCTTTTAAAAAATAAATAAAGCATTCACTATAATAACAGCATAAGTCTACCCCCATTATCTGTCAAATGGGGATTTACTTTTTAGTCTCTTCTTTTATGTTACCACCATAAGTTGTAGAAAATCCAGTATGATTTCACCAAATATAAATCCTACTTACCAAGTGCTCTTGCTACTGCCAGAAAAGGAATCTGGTCAATAACTGTGCTCCTTCTAACAGGTCCATTGTGAGAAAGCCGAGGTCGTTTCCAAACTACACGATTCACCCCAGACTTGTTCATCACACTGAAAAAAGTGCACAAAAATACCTTAAGTGAATTAAATACAAGTAAGGTAGCTAACTCAATGTGTTAACCAATAACTAATACAATCAGATTATATGATCACAAAATAACGACTTATCTGATTCAGACACTAAGATACATAAGCCAAAATTCCTGTTCAGAGAGGAAAGCCAAAACAGGGTAGATTAATGTGAGGAGAATCTGGAGATTACTGAGGTAGGTTAGACAGAACAGAGTAGAAGTAATGAGAAGAAAAATGAGTGGACATGATGTCAGGAAAAAAAAAAAAACAAGATACTAAGGAAAAAAAAACAAAAAACAAGGAAACTAAGGGGAGGAAGAAGAGGTTATAAATAAATAGAAAAAAATGAAAAGGGGGGCAGCCGGGGTGGCTCAAAGGTTTAGCATCACCTTCAGCCCAGGGCCTAATCCTGGAGACTTGGGATCAAGTCCCATGTCAAGCTCCCTGCATGGAGCCTGCTTCTCCCTCTGCCTGTGTCTCTGTCTCTCTGTGTCTCTCATGAATAAGTAAATAAAATCTTAAAAAAAAAAAAAAAATTTAAAAAGGAGAAAAAAAATTGAAAAGGAGAGGTTATATAGTTTTTGATGGATTTGAGGGTGCTGAATACAGTATAACTTCAGTTTTAATATTTTTAATTTGAGGATATACCTCAATAGAAATATCAATATATTTAGACATTTCTGTATTTAGAAGTATGAAAGTAGACTTTGGAAACAAATTAGCTTGAGAGATATAGATATGAGAGTTAGAGAATAAGAAAACTCTTAGGAATTTGGCAGAGGATCAACAGAAATCTGTAATTAGTACACAAAGAAGTTAATACATGCTAGGGTGCCTAAAACAGGAAAATGCTCAAATCTTTAAGCAAAACAAGTAATAAAACACAAAAGAGATGGTCTCTCAGAAGGTACCTGGCATGACTGAAATGATAAACTGGCTCTTAATTTAATCATAATCTGCCTGGGGGTGCCTAGGTGGCTCAGTTGGTTAAGTGTCTACCTTTGGCTCAGGTCATCATCTCAGGGTCCTGGGACAGAGCCTCAAGTTGGGCTCCCTGCTCAGCAAGGAGTCTGCTTCTCCCTCTTCCTCTAACACTCCCCCACCATTCACGTTCTCTCTCAAATAAATAAAATCTTGCAAAAAATCATAATTTGCCTGAATTAAAAAAAAAAAAAATCAAGAGAAGAAAAATGCTCCTCTGAACGACTAGAAAAGTTAGCATGAAGAGTAGCAAAGAGAATTTTCAATAAACAATACTAGCCTAACTGATATTAAGTCCATCTGACAAGGGCAGCCCCGGTGGTGCAGTGGTTTAGCGCCGCCTGCAGCCCACGGCGTGATCCTGGAGACCCGGGATCGAGTCCCACATCGGTGCCTGCTTCTCCCTCTGCCTGTGTCTCTGCAAGTCCATCTGACAAGATACATGCATAAGACAGAGGTTTATTCCCAAGGCTCTCAAAGATATATGACACTAAAATAATCTAAGTCTTCTCACTTAGAGCTCCTATGCATCCAGAAATGTTTTGATTATAATCTGAAATTTCATTCATCTACAGGAGGCCAGCTGACAATAATATGTAGTTTCCTTGTTGGTTATTTTTCTCATGATTAATGAGTACTAAGACATCCTGATGCAGACATGACTGAGTCCTTTATGAGTTTATTATGTTGACCTTCAGTAGCATGACTCTATCCTCCTAAACCTGATGAACACTGAAATGAAACTGACTTCATGTGTAAAGACTTCATATGTAAAGACGTGTAAAGCTGAAGACAGGACAAATAGTGACCACCCTCAAAAGAAAGTCACTATAAAATTCCATACATCTCAGCAGCTGCCAGCCAGTTAACCCCCAACTATGGCTTTTCTATCTCTAATTTCAAAGGAATGAACATACTAGAGAAAAAAGAGACAACAAATGGAATAAAAATCCTAAGAGAAGCAAAATAAAGGCCTTATAAATGAGAAAAGGCCACTCTTCTGCTGAGCCAAGAAAAACATGAATGTGGTGGAACAGCCTCGAACTTCTTTCTGAAGTGGAAAACAAACTTATCTGATAAGGGCAGGCCAGGAGATCTGAGTAGCTCTGTCTCATGAAATTCTGCAATGATGGAAATGTTCACTCTGTCCTAGTGGCTAGTGAGCACTGTAACTATGGCCAGTGGGAATGAAGAACTGAATTTTTCGTTTTAATTGTAATTAAATTATATTGCAGTTTAAACCATATGTGGCTAATGGCAATTATATTAGATAGCAGAGAGGAGGAATGAATCAAGTACAGAATGACCACCAAACTTTGTCAATGATAACACAGAAGAGAAATTCCAGAGTTGGTTATTTACTATCCCTTTTGAGAACTCATTTAGTTTAATTCACAGTCCTCAAAGCAACACTGTTAGGTCACAGTAAGTTAGAATACTAAAAGTGGTCATTTTGTTATTTTATGCTTTCTTCAATGCTGATCCTCAAAAAACAAACAAGAGAGTAAAGATTAAATCTACCATTCACAAGAGATGTGTCATTCTGCCTTCATACCACCTTAAATCCTATTGTTTCCTAAACCTGCTCCCTAAAATGTAAGGCTTAATACTTAAATACAGTAGCTACTCAAATTGTTTCCATTATAACTCTAGATAGGAGCTCTCTTGATACTTAATAATCAAAGATATTATTGCCTCTGTGCTTCAGAAGAACAAAAAACAAAATAATGGTACTGGTTAAAACAAAGTTTTAAATCCAGTATCAAAAACCCAAAGCAATGTTATAAAAGATACTGCTTTTTATTGCACTCCCTGCTGTTGTCCCGTATGATTAAAAGGCATATACAAAGGAACAGCCTGATATGCAGAGAGCTGACTGAGCAGCAACAGAAGGCTGGAAAAACAGAGCACTGGCCAGTTGCCTAGGGTGAGACAGAGGGAAAGGAGGAAATAACTTATAATAAAACAGCTCAATTTGTGCAAAAAGACACCTGCTCCCAAATGGCAAAGAGCATCTGTCCAACTATCCAGATGGTATTTTAAGTGATAAGACAAAAACATGAACTCTAAAAAATGTTATTAAAAAATCAAATAATATATAATTTATTCACATGGAAAAATAAAGAAAGAATAGTCAAAGAATATTTTTTAAAAATTAATGAAAAGGGACCAGGATTACCAATATTAAAAATTATAGGGACTCCTGGGTGGCTTAGCAGTTGGGCGTCTGCCTTTGGCTCAGGGTGTGATCCCGGGGTACCGGGATTGAATCCCACATCAGGCTTCCTGAATGGAGCCTGCTTCTCCCTTTGCCTATGTCTCTCCCTCTCTCTCTCTCTTTGTCTCTCACAAAATAAATAAATAAAAGCTTAAAAAAATTATAATAAAGCCACAATGTTTTTTAAAGTACTCTACTGGGGGCAGCCCCGGTGGCACAGCGGTTTAGCGCCACCTGCAGCCCAGGGCATGATCCTGGAGACCCTAGGATAGAGTCGCACATCAGGCTCTCTGCATGGTGCCTGCTTCTCCCTCTGCCTGTGTCTCTGCCTCTCTCTCTCTGTGTCTCTATGAATAAATAAATAAAATCTTTATTTTTTTTTAAAGATTTTTTTAAATTTTTATTTATTTATGATAGTCAGAGAGAGAGAGAGGCAGAGACACAGGCAGAGGGAGAAGCAGGCTCATGCACCGGGAGCCCGACGTGGGATCCGATCCCGGGTCTCCAGGATCGCGCCCTGGGCCAAAGGCAGGCGCCAAACCACTGCGCCACCCAGGGATCCCTAAATAAAATCTTTAAAAAAAAAAAAACCTCCTTAAAAAAATAATAAAGTACTCTACTGGTACATGAACATACAGTATAAAAAATAGCTCAGAAAAAGACCCAAATATATACAAGAATTCAGTTTATAATTGCAAAGCCCACTTTGCATGTGTATGAGCAATGGTCTCAGATACAGACTGACCTTCACACTCATAGGATCAAATAGATGACAGCATGAAACCAGGCTCATTTAACTTCATAGGATACAGAGGAGGAAACGGTATGCCAGCGTAGCAGCTTCAATCATGTTGTCTTCAGCAATTGTCCTTAACAGAAATCCAAGAGCTATTTTCTAGCCCCCATATGAACTTCATATGCCACAGGTAAATTTCATATGCCACAGGAATCAGGGTCTTATAAGAGCCTGTGACTTACTGTACCTACATAAGTCAAACTGCATGCATACAGGGCAGCTAATAAAGTCTGTGCTTCCCAATAGAAATTTATAGTCCACTCAAAATCTTCTCTCCAGATCAGTTCCACTTCAAGACTCATTCTACCATAAGCAATATTACCCTATAACAGAACTGACATTCTATCTTAACCAGAGAAACAGTGATAGAAGAGGTAAACTCAAGGTCATCTTCCCACTAAAGAGGGGTTTTACGCCTCGTTAGCCTTCTATTCAGTAAGAAAAAGATATATAATTATTCCATAGCTACTAATGACCACTGATAAAAAAAAATATTAACTTGGGTCTCTACTACACATCTCAGATTTTAAAATTCCAGTGAGACTGAAGGTTAAAATGTTCAAGATGAAACCATACAAGTACTAGAAAAGTGGTTCTCAAAATATGGTTCAGAGGCCCCTGAGAGTCCCCCAGACGTTTTCAGGGGGTCTGTTAGGTCAAAATTATTTTCATAAGACCATGTACATACAGTGGAGTTTTTGAGAGACTACATGACGATACAATATTAAATAACAAAATGTGTCAATATTTGGATCTGTGTAACTCAGGAAACCAGTATTTTACAAATGACCAATGCCTATGTTACAAAATCACACCTGCAGGCTATATACTACATGTTTCGAACTACATATGATCTTCTGGAAAAAAACACAACTATGGGGACTTAAAGATATCAGTGGTTCCCATGAGTAAGTTAGAAGGAAAGGATAAACAGGCAGAGCACATAAGGCTTTTAGGACAGTGAAACTATTTTTATGATACTATAATGGTAGATACGTGGCATTATATATTTGTCAAAACCCTACAATATCCCTAATGTAAACTATGGGCTTTGAGTGACGATATGTCAATGTAGGGTCATCAATTGTAACAAATACACCATTCTGTTATAGGATGTTGGTAGTGGGAGAAACTGTGCACAAAAGAGGCAGGGAGGAGCACCTGGGAGGCTCAGGTCCTGATCCTGGGGTCCTGGAATCAAGTCCCATGTCAGGCTCCCCACAGGGAAGCCTGTCTATGCCTAGGTCTCTGCCTCTCTGTGTGTCTCTCATGAATAAACAAATAAAATCTTAAAAAGAGAGAGAGAGAGAGAGAGAGAGAGAGAGAGAGAGAGAAGGCAGGGAGTATACAGGAACTCTCTGTACTTTCCATTTAATTTTGCAGTGAACCTAAAACTACTCTAAAAAATAAAGTCTGGGCAGACCGGGTGGCTCAGCGGTTTAGCACTGCCTTCAGCACAGGGCCTGATCCTGGAGATCCGGGATCAAGTCCCATGTTGGGCTCCCTGCATGGAGCCTACTTCTCCCTCTCTCTCTCTCTCTCTCTCTCTCTGTGTGTGTGTGTGTGTCTCTCTCTCATGAGTGAATAAATAAAATCTTTAAAAAAATAAAATAAATAAAAAATAGTCTTAATAAAAAAAATGCATGGATTAAAAAATCATTTAACCAATGGCTCTTAATTGATACACCTACAGATCTTAATGTAAGCATATAAGGCGGCCACTGATATAATTTCAGACACTACTTCTTTTTTCAAGATTTTATTTATTCATGACAGACACAGAGAGAGAGAGAGGCAGAGACACAGGCAGAGGGAGAAGCAGGCTCCATGCAGGGAGCCCGATGTGGGACTCGATCCTGGGTCCCCAAGATCACACCCCAGCTGAAGGTGGCACTAAACTGCTGGGCCACCGGGGCTGCCCAAGACACCACACTATTATTAACCTTTAAGAAACTATCTCTTTGAGTTATGGAATAATACCAAAGAATATCCCCATACATGAAAAAGCTATTAAAATACTCCTCCCTGGGCAGCCCGGGGGCTCAGCGGTTTGGTGCCTGCCTTCGGCCCAGGGCATGATCTTGGAGTCCCGGGACTGAGTCCCATGTCGGGCTCCCTGCATGGAGCCTGCTTCTCCCTCTGCCTGTGTCTCTGCCTCTCTCTCTCTCTCTGTCTCTCATGAATAAATAAATAAAAGCTTTAAAAAAAATACTGCTCCCTATTCCAATTCTATACCTATAAAAGACCAGTTTTACTTCTGATACTATAACCAAAAAGCAGACGATAACAGACTGAGAGCAGAAGCAGATATGAGAATCTAGGTGGTCTTCTATTAAGCCAGATAATAAGGAGACATATATGCAAAATAATGCCAAGCCTCTCACTAAATATGTTTTGGGAAATAGCTAATTTTTCATTAAAAAGTGTTCATGTTAACACAATGGGTTTAATACTGTTATTTTTCAGGGCACGTGGGTGGCTCAGTCAGTTGAGACTTTTGATTTCGGCTCAGGTCATAATCTCAGGGTCCTGAGATGGGGCCCAGTGTGGGCAGGCTCCCCACTCACTGCGGATTCTACTTGTCTTCCCTCTCCCTCTGTCCCTCCCCCTACTCACATGCGCACTAGAGCTCTGTCTCTCAAATCTTTAAACATATATATTTATTTTTCAATGAACTAACAAATAGGTAAAAATGTCTCTATTTTTAGTTTCTAAAATCATTACATATAGCTAATATAAACAAAAAGCTCCTCAAGGTAGGTCCTCAATTTTTAAGGGTATAAAGGGTTCCTAAACCCAAAAATATCCCTAAGAGTTTTTAATAACCTCAGAATACGAGAACTATATGTACAGCATAAAAAAAATCAAGACATATCAGAAGAGACTGGTAACTATATTAAAACAAACTTCCATGTAGAAAAAAAAAATTCCAGGACCATAATTCAAAGCCAAATTATGAAAACAACACCTGAAACACATTACATCACATAAGACTAATTTCTCTAATTGTGAAGCAGCTCTTACATATTAATAAAAAAAAGCTAATAACCATCTTCCCCCTAAAATGAACAGAGTATAAACAGAAATACAAAGAAAAGGAAATATAAATAGTTGTTAAACAAATAAAAGATATTCAACCTTTCTCATAAGACAAATTAAAATCAAAACATCACCAAGTTTCTCCCCTTTAACCTAAAAGTTAGTATGATCAAAAAGTTCCAGAAGGATATTGTCAAGGGCATCTACATAGACTGCTGACAGAAGTGTAAACTGGTACAACCTCATAGAGACTAATAGTTGTCAACATTCAAAACATATTCCTCTTTGGCCCAGCAAGTCCTTCTAGGAAATGATCTTACAAATATACTTGTATGTACAAAAAGGTGCTTGTACGCGATTTTCATTTTACAATAATGTCTGTAATAGTAAATAAAAAATAAATTTAAAAAGCAGAAATATTCTTCAATAGGAGACTAGTTAAATAAATGATGGTACATCTATATATGGCACAGCTTCATATCTGATTGTGTATGAGTCTCTCTTTATGAAAGGTTACACAACAGTACTGGGTTTTGTGGGAGAGGGGAACTGTGAAGCCTGTGGAACAGCAGCAGCTGAAAGACCTTCTGAAGTATATCATTTTAGGCTACCTAAATTTTAATCAAATGAATGCTACCATTAAAAAAAAAACTACAGGGACGCCTGGGTGGCTCAGCAGTTGAGCGCCTGCCTTCCACTCAGAGCATTATCCAGGGTCCAGGACTGAGTCCTGCATCAGGCTCCTTGTATTATTATCATATACTTAAGCATTCTTGAGTTGTTGGGCCTTCAAGTATTTCCAGCCTTTAACAGTCATTAAACATTGCTATAATCACTCTGTTCCGATATTCTGGTCCACATTTCATATTTCTTTAGAGTACATTCCTGAAATTACTGAGTCTGTAAACATTTGAAGCTAGTGGGTATAAATTATATTCTATATTGTTCACACTAATTTATAATCCTACCAACAGGATTCCCATTTCAACAAAAATATTGAGAAGTATTTCTCTTTTAAAAAAATTTTGCTAACCCAACAGCAGGAAACAGTTTCATTTTAATAATTTTTTTTTGCGGGGCACTGGGTGGCTTACTGGTTGAGTGTCTGCTTGTGAGGCTCAGGTCATGATCCTGGGGTCCTGGGATGGAGTCCCGCAACGGGCTCCCTTTAGGAAGCATGCCTCTCCCTCTGCCTATGTCTCTGCCTCAATCTCTCATGAATAAATACACAAAATCTTTAAAAAAAATCAATAATTTTTTTTTCAAATGTTTGCTATTCTTTTGCTTTTTTTTTTTAACGCTTTTGCATTTTTATTATTGTTCAAAGTCCTCTCTTTATTCACTATCTGGGGGTGGCAGTGTTAAGGATATAAATTCTTTACCCCAGTTAGTTTACTAATACTCTGAAAAAGTCTATTTTGATTTAATAGAAGAAAAAGGAGGCAAGTAATAATATCATGGTAAGGCTTTAGTTAGAATAATTATTTAGAAAATACTGGATTCTATTTAACTTGCCTCATTCCTTCAACTTCTAAAACTTAGTATTGGAATAATTTTTGAATTTTCTCATAAAAAATAAATAAATAAATAAATAAATAAAATTTTCTCATGTTACTCATTCCTCTGATTTTTACAATAATCTTACATTTTAGTTTGCATCATAAAATATACTGAAGCCACTTTTAGTTTATAGCTTACACATTAAGACAATAACTTGAAACAGACAAAAGAAAATAGTAAGAAGAGGGATGCCTGGGTGGTTCAGTGGTTGAGCATCAGCCTGTGGGCTCAGAGCATACTCCCAGAGTCACGGGATAAAGCAGGCTCCCCCTAAGGAGTCTGCTTCTCCCTCTGCTTATGTCTCTGCCTCTCTCTCTGTGTCTTTCATGAATAAATAAATAAAATCTTTCAAAAAAAAAAAAAAAGAAAATAGTAAGAAAGGTTTGCAGCATATCTAACTTAGAAATCAAAGAAAAAAACCTTAAGATTAATTTTTTATTATTAAAGATTTTTATTTATTTATTCATGAGAGACAGAGAGAGAGATAGAGAGAGAAAGAGGCAGAGACATAGGCAGAGGGAGAAGCAGGCTCCCTGCAAGGAGCCCGATGTGGGACTCGATCTCGGTTCCTGGGATCAGGACCTGACCAAAGGCAAGACGCTCAACCGCTGAGCCATCCAGGCATCCTGCTTAAGATTAATTGTAACAAAATTCTATTCCCAAAGTCAGATTCAAATTGTTCTACTCTGGAACACTAACAGCTACTCTGCCCAGATTCCGAATGTCATGATGATCAGTATTTATATAAAAGGTGATCAATAAATCTTTGTGTGCTTTATTTGACTCCCATGAAAATATTATTTCCCTCTGGATCTATTATCAGAAAACAGTCAACTCAAACTAACAAGATAAATATGAATGCAGATGGGTACTTTATCAGGCAAATTAAAAACTTTTAACACTGAGAAAGTAATCAAAAAGGAGTAACTGGTCAATCTGGTTAGTAAAGCAGAAAAGAACTAAATAGAACCAAGATAGGAAAGACAAAACAGCACAATGATTACCTCCCACCAAGTCCTTCGATTCGTTCTCTTTCCTTGGGAAGTTCTGGTTTATGGTCCTGTGTCACCTCCACAGCTCTGACAAAATCATCCTTCGGGTCATCCTGAATTCCAAGAACCACCCCTGAGTCACCCACGTGAGCTACATACATCTTCATGCCCCGTATGATGACCACACTGGCAGTTGTCCCTGACGTGCTGGGAAGACCTGTCATTGTCTTTGGCCATTCTGCTGTAATAAGAAATAAAATATTTTACTCTTCCAGATATAGACAGTAATATTGTATCAGAATAAAAATGGCAACATGTCCACAATTAGCATGTTAAAACTTGAATTAGCATAGGATAAAATTTAAAAACATTTTGAAAGCTATTTAAAAAGAACTTGTGTTAATTCCTTCATCAACATATTAATAAATTAACTTTACAAATAATGTAATTATATTACAACCATCAAACAAATCCTAGGAGAAAAATATTACAGGACAGATTTACTAGTTCCACATGTCTTAGTCCTAACCTACATTTAGTGGGCGACGATGTGTTCAGAGTTTTGATACTTGTATAGCCAGTAGCTTAGCATCCATTTATTAATCTCTCTTTGAAAGGATTCTCAGAAAAAGCTACTTATTGTCGAAATAGTTACTTTGGATATTCAAAATCTAATAAATAACATTTTTATGAGCACTTACTGTGTACCAGGTTCTGTGCTAAGAGCTTTACATATATTATCTCAAATAATATTTACAACAAACCACTTAGGTAAATTATTCCCATTATTTTCATTTCACAGATGAGGAATCAATCGTTTTAATAGTTAAGAAAGTTGTTTAAGATAACTCAAATATTAAATGGCAGAGACCCAATATATTTAATCCTAAAACCTTATATTGACTAATTACATCCATTTGTCATTTAAAAAATCTGAAATATTCTGGAATATTAAACAAACTACAATTTATAGTTCATGACAGCCAACTGAATCCAAACAGTGACATAGTCTCCTCACCAAATCCCACTGAAAGGACAGAATATAAATATTAGAGAAGTTCACAGCAGTCATGAAATACAGAGGAGGGTCAAAGCAAATCTGAGGAATCCCTTGAATCTTAACGAAATGTAATTATATTAAGGGAAAAATCAGAATGTAAAATCTATAATCCAGTAAGTGAAAAGCACAGTCATAAAGAAGGCAATACATCAGTTTTCCCTGGTAACAGAGTCCTGAAAAGGGATCCCTGGGTGGCGCAGAGGTTTAGCGCCTGCCTTTGGCCCAGGGCGCGATCCTGGAGACCCAGGATCGAATCCCACGTCGGGCTCCCGGTGCATGGAGCCTGCTTTTCCCTCTGCCTGTGTCTCTGCCCCTCTCTCTCATTCTGTGTGACTATCATAAATAAGTAAAAAATAAATAAACATTGTTTAAAAAAAAAAAAAAACAGAGTCCTGAAAAGCTCAAACTCAGAGATTGGGCAAAGGCTGAGGTAGCAATCAATGATATGAGCTTGGCAGATTTATTTTAAAACTGCAAAAGCTAGGTCAGCGCCTAAACTCTCCACACAGTAAAAGGTGAAACATTTTAGTTCCTATGCTACCAGTACCTATAATACCTCTCTTTTAAGGAAAGTGATGCATCTGTTGATAGAAACCACAGGGTCTCAACAGCGATGAGGTGGAAGAAATAGGACCTAAAAAACTTGATGTGGTGCCACACAACTTTCATAGCCACAAGACTTCTCTAGTATATTCATTCTAATTAGAGTTCTTTTCTTTACATTATTACATATGCTGAAAAGACATTTTTTGAATCCTACAAAGCATCTCCTCATCTCATCCTACAGATGGAATCTACACTACAGAATCCCGTTACTCACAGCAGAGGGCTAGTTGCAGTATATGAAATAATGACCCTCACAATTGCTGAGGGAAACCAGAATGGCTACCAATATTGATGAAGCCAGAAATTCATACACATACACAACGTAAAATCATCTGCAACAGTACCAGACATCCAGTAAGTGCTCGATAAATGTTATTTTTTGTTGTTATAACCATTATTTAAGAAGAGCAAACAGCCTAAGAGGCATCAAGAGCAGTACACAAAGAGAAAACCGCCCCCAAGAATATATCTGTGGAAGAATCAAAAGAATCTATAGACTACTGGCATTGATAAGGTCCAGTAAAGTTACTGAATATAAACATTGTTATATATATAAAAAAAAAAATCCATGCTATTTCTGTAAACCACCAACAACAAAAAAAAATTACAAAATGTAACTTAAAAAAAGATACCATTCACAACAGCAACAAAAGGTATATGGTATCTAGGAACAACGCTAACAAATTTCTAACAAGACCTTTATAGAAAAGTTATAAACTAGTGGACCAAAAGAACAGAATAGTCAGCACAGAAACAGACCCATGCATCCTCAAACACCTGATATATGAACAGTGGAGAAAGACGGACTTTCAGGGGCACCTGGGTGGCTCAGTTAAGCATCTGCCTTCAGTTCAGGTCATGATCCCAGGGTCTTGGGATGGAGCCTGGCATTGGACCCCTGTTCAGTGGGATGTCTGCTTCTCTCTCTCCCTTTGCCCCTCCTCCTTACTTATTCCTCCTCCAAAGACATAAACAAAATCTTAAAAGAAAAAAAAAAGCTGACTTTCATTACATGGAATTGGGACAAGATTTTTAAAAAAGCAAAAACAAAAAAACACTTTGGGTCCCTGATGCCAAGCACAAAAAAAAAAAAAAAAAAAAAAAATCAATTAAATGACCTAATATGAAAATCAAAGCTAAAATGCTTAGAAAATATATAGGAAGGTACATTCATGACCTCAGAATAGGAAAGGTATTCCTAAAGACAAAGAATGGCCTAGCCATATAAAGAAAATGACTGAGAAGCTGTAATACCATCAAAATTAAGAATTTCTGTTCTTCAGAAAATACCATTACTAGAGTTAAAAAGATGACTCACAGAATGGAGTTTGTAATAACACACCACAGAAATGGTATCCAGAATATATTAAAATGCTCCTACAAAACAAATCAAGACAAACTATGCAACAGAAAAATGAACAAAAGGCTTGAACAGGGGGATGCCTGGGTGGCTCAGTGGTTGAGCGTCTGCCTTGGCTCAGGATGTGATCCCCACCTCAGGGTTTCAAGTCCCACATCGGGCTCCCTGCGGAGGAGTCTGCTTATCCCTCTGCCTATGTCTCTGCCTTTCTCTTTGTATCTCTCATGAATGAATGAATGAATGAATGAATAAATAAATAAATAAATAAATCTTTAAAAAAAAAAAGGTTGAATGGGCCTTTTGCAAGAGAAGAAATCCAAACGTGCAAAGGTGTTCAGTATTTCTAATCAATAGGGAAATACAAATTAAAAACCACAATGAGCTACCACTACATAATTATCAGATAGCATAAATTAAAATCTGACAACAGAAACTGTGATTAAGGGCAGTCCCAGTGGCTTAGAGGTTTAATGCCTCCTTCAGCCCAGGGTGTGCTCCTGGAGACCCAAGATCGAGTCCCACATCGGGCTCCCTGCATGGAGCCTACTTCTTCCTCTGCCTGTGTCTCTGCCTCTCTCTCTCTCTGTGTCTCTCATGAATAAATGAATAAAATCTTAAAAAAAAAAAAAGAAAGAAACTGTGATTAAGAATGTAGAACAACATGTCCTATCAACTACTGGTGGGAGTATAAACTGATATAACCACTTTGGAAAATATCCAGACATTATCAAAAATTAAGATGTATACACTTTGACTACTTAATATCCCTATATATATGCCATAAATTAATGTACATATACACACAGTACATATGAATGTTCAGAGCTACATTGCTCATACAGGCTGAGGAGCAATCCAAACGTTCAATGTGACAACAAACTACACTATATGTAACATGTAAGAATCTCACAAGAAGCATCAGAGGAAAGCAAACAGCATGATTTTCTTCAAAAGAAAACTATCATATTTACAAATAAGTAGTAAAACTATTAAGCAAATCAGGGCACCTTGCTGGCTCAGTTACCGGAGCATTCAATTCTTCATTGAGGTTTTGGGATTGAGCCTAATGCCCAGTATACAGATTACCTAAAAATAAAATCTTGGTGCACCTGTATGGCTCAGTTGGTTATGCATCCAACTCTCGATTTCAATGAAGGTCATGATCTCAGGGTCCTGAAATTGAGCCCCACATCAGGCTCCACACTGAGTTCCGTGGAGCTTGCTTAAGATTCTCTCCCCACCCCCCTGCCCCTGCTCCACCCCTCAGGCTATCTTTAAAAAATAATAAATAAAATCTTTTAAAAAAGAAAAGAAGGGACACCTGGGTGGCTCAGTGGTTAAAAACGTCTGTCTCAGCTCAGGGCATGATCCTGGAGACCCAAGATCGAATCCCACATCAGGCTCCCTGCATGGAGCCTGCTTCTCCCTCTGCCTATGTCTGCCTCTCTCTCTGTGTCTCTCATGAATAAATAAATAAAATCTTAAAAAAGAAAAGAAAAGAGAGAAAAGAAAAGAAGAGAGAAAAGAAAAGGAAAGGAAAGGAAAGGAAGAAAGAAAAGAAAAGAAGAAAAGAAAAGAAAAGAAAAGAAAAGAAAAGAAAAGAAAAGAAAAGAAAAGAAAAGAAAAGAAAAGTAGTTGGGCACCTGAGTAGCTCGGTTGATTAAGTGTGTCTACCTTTGACTCAAGTCATGAGCTCACGGTCCTGGGATGGAGCCCCTCATTGGGCTCCCTGCTCAGTGGAGAGCCTGCTTCTCCCTCTCCCTCTGCCCCTCCTCCCTGCTTGTGCTTACTCTCTCTTAAATAAATTAGTAAAAAAAAAAATTTTTTTAAAGGGAAAAAAAGTGATGCCTGGGTGGCTCAGTGGTTGGGCATCTGCCTTTGGCTTAGGGCATGATACCGGGATCTGGGATCCAGTCCCACATCATGCTCCCTGCAGAGAGCCTTCTTCTCCCTCTGCCTATGTCTCTGCCTCTCTCTCTCTGTGTGTGTGTCTCTCATGAATAAATAAAAAAACAAGTTAAGTCCCTAGAACTATAGCCACAGAAGTCAGGATGATGGTTATCCTTTGAGAGACGATAATAATATGAGATGAGAAAAGACATATGGGAGCTTCTGTAGTATAGGCAATGTTCTCTTTCTTAACCATATGGTGTTCATTTTACAAGTCTTCATTGAAGTATACATTTATGTTTTATGGCCTTTTCTATTTGTATAC